CTGTCACGGCTGCACTTCACCTTCAGACTGACCTTGGACCGTGGAGGTGCTCGGATGTACCACTTGCAATCGACGGCCTCGCTCGCGGACGCCTTGCCTTCCTTCGTAATCTGCACAGACTCCACGATGCCTTCCGGGCCGCCCGTCTCGAACTCACACACTAAGGAACAAAACGCCAAACACACACACAGACGTGCAGCTTGAGTAATAAACCAAAGGTACACATCACAGCAGAAAGCAAAGGCCTCTGAACAGCATTGAACATCTATTTTACCAACCTGGCAATGGTTTCAAAACTCCAAGGTCCTTAAAGTCAGGATCTTAAAAATTGAGAAAAAGGACAATTAGTCTTATTCTGCCTTTATTACTTAAAGTGACGTTGAGGATGATACCATTAAATTACTCAGGGATCCACCTTAAAAAACACATCAGGGGAAATTAAATGGTTAAATAAAAAGTACATGATAATGTTAAGACTGAAATGTTCATTTGTATAATATAATATTTATTACTACAGGATTCTTATCAATTAAAAGAAGCCATTTTTTAAAAAGACCATGCAATATCATTCCTTCATCTAATAATTGAGTTGAAAACCTTATTCATTACCTTTAACTCTATAACCGAACAACAGATGTTTTTGTAAAATGTGTCCATAGATAACTCGAGGATTTGGTAAACTTCCATCTATTCTAGATACAATTATTTTGTCTGTCTTAAAAGATTCTTTAAATCGTTGAAACACAATTTCAACTGAAATATTGGAAGCACAGAGTTAAGACGTAAACCCTCAGGTCCCTCTCCCCTGGCTGACTGCACTTCTGTAACTCTCCACCCCGCGCTAGTTCCCGAGTACGCCTCAGTATTTTCCTGTGTCCACGCGATGTCCAGTCTCTCCCCAGTCTTCCTGCCAGCCTACCACAGTCCAGACAGCTGGACTCCTCTGCTCATTTATATGCCTTGGGGCAGCTTGCTTTATCACAAGCCTCGGACATGTCCTGTCTGTTACAAGCCAAAAATGATGGTCTCACTGCCGTTTCCTGGAGTTGATTTTGAGGTAGGTTTGCAGCCAGAGCAACACACAGGTGAGCCTACTGGAGGGCTCCTGAACATTTTCCTTGATGACAAATGGGGGCAAGGCACATCGTTTTCCCAGCTCATGGTGTGGTCATGTTTATATTGGAGCATTTGGGGTCATGTGCTTTGGCCAGTTTGTGATGTTGACGGTTGCTAATGTAAGAAAATGCTAACTCTTAGGATGAGCAGAGTGGAACCACGAAGAGCCATGAGTCCTTAAGGTATGACTGAGGCACTGTATTAACCCGGTCTGGAGTTGCACTTCTTTGAGCTTCTTGCTTTTTGAAACAATACACGTCCTTGTAGTCTCGGTTACTTTGAATTGATTTTCTTTTATTTATGGGTGAAGGCATCAAAGGCTATGATTTATCTTGGAGACACATGGTATCCAATTTAAAAGATGATTGTGAAATTTAATTCCTTTTTGCTACTGCGGTATTAGCGATAAATCAAAAATCATACAAAGTTAGAAATATTTTGTAAGACACTGTTCAATAACAGTCTAGGACTGAAATATGAAAGGGTGGCACTCTGTCTGGAGAGAATTAACTCTGGATATTAAGACCATATGTGTAGGGAAGTCTCTGTGTATCTAAGCCTGCTTCTTAGTTCGTCCGTGTGCATGAATACGCCAGACCGACTGTACGAGGGGACTCACCTTCATTACAGGTTCGATTTTTTTGTTGCTGCTTGTTTGTTTTTAACAGCAATGTGCACTGATCTACTGATGCTGAAAGGCTTGGATTGGCCCAGCTACAATTTAGTTACATCCTTTATTTAGACTCACTTTATTGTAGGACAATAGCAAAATAACAGTGGTATTAAATGTTGAATCAAGATCCAAATTGCTTTGCAGAACTCTTTTGAAAACAGTTCCTTTGCCTTTTTTGGAAAAGAAAGACGGGAGATATCTGTATGCAATTTCCATGGAAGAAACAGAAATGAGGACAGCATAGAGATTTTTTCCCTTCATCTAAATCAATGGATATTTGGTTATTCTTTCAAAGAATGTATATGTGCTACCTACTGTGTACAAGAAAGGAGCTGTTTCGTCCATAATTACTCAGACGGGCTGGCATCCTTAAGCAGTTGTCCTGGTATTCAAGAGACACGTCCCTCAAGCTTGCCCACCTCTGTTATCTGGACTCTTTGTTATTCATTATGTCCCTTTTACTGTTTTGCATAATGCTTAATAGCAGTCATTATTACTACTGCCTCCTTTGTGATGCGACTGTTTCAGCCTTGCTGGCTCTTCCTATGACACTTGTGAAAATGCAGTTGGTATTCTGTCCTCTAGTTTGAAGGCTAACATTTGTCATTTTTATAACTCATGCCAGACAACGTTGAGAGAGATTCCAGTTCTGAGAACTGAAAGTGTATTTTTGTCTTTGTATTAATGGTGCAGGGACTTATTGTTGAAAAAAAAATAAAACCTTCAGGAAAAAAATCATCCCTGCGGTTCCATCTGAATTAAGCACCAATAATATCACAATCACAGTAACGGGTGGCCCCCGTGAGCTGCGAACACAAACAGAGAATGAACAACACAATAATTTTTAAAAACAACCTGCGCTGAATGTGAGGGTATTGAGGCCGGTCTGTTGTTTCAGGCTGTCTGCGGCACAGACAATCACTGCGCAGAAGCGCAATGACCTGGGGCTTTGCCATCACCTCTGGCTCTAGAACTTCCCGAATCTACTGTCCACTAAGCAACCTGGATAAGCTCTTACAAATATAAACCATCATGATACACAGCTGGCTTTCCACTGCCCTTGGGTTAAAGTCACGACTCTTTTTGATGGACTCTAATGGCCTGTGTGTTCTCGCCCCAGACCACCTGGCCCAGGGCACCCCAGGCTGCTCGCCTCTGCTCTCTCCTCTCAACACACATGGATCCTTCCTATTTCCACAACATTCTAGGCTGTTTGCGCTCGCTCTTTTCTCTGTCTGCGATATCTCTCCCCACCCCCTACCCAGGCTCTGCTTCGCTGGGTCTTTCTCATTCTTCAGTTCTTGGCTGAAATATTATCTTCTAGGAAAGGCCCTCCTGGATGACACTCTCGAAGGCCGCACTGACTCTCACTTCCTTTTCTCCCTTCCTGGTTTCTTTTATCACAATTTACTCTCATTTTGCTATTAACAAATAGCAAACTTGTTTCCTGACCATCTACTCCCATTCGACCATGAGGACGTCCACGCTGCAAGGGCCTCTGTGTCTATTCCTCCTGCTTCTGTTTGTCCAGGACCAAACACTGCTTGGACATAGTAGGTGCCCAACAAGTGTTATTGAGTTTAACATATATTTTGTGCATAAAAATACAATTACAGTCCACTAAGTTGATTTCCTCATATTCTGTAATGCCTTATACCTACACTTTTCCAGTCAAGAAGCTCTTACAGGAAACCTATCAAATTAGATGTTCTATTCAAGACCGATCTCCTGTTTACTAAACCCACATCTTTTTCTTCCTGGGCACCCAAGACAATGGCACCAAAACTCAGCTGTTAGCATTCATTGTATAAGTCATCCTCATGCATTCGTGGAGATTAAAAAAAAAAGACTATTTTACTTTAAAATCTTCTTGATGAGGCATTCAAAAATTACTAAATTTTTTTAATGTAAGATTTTGCATATGTATCTTTTCTGCAAGGAGAACACAGTGAATCTGTTGATTTTTCTGCAGGATGAACACAGCCAAACTATTGGCTTTAAGGAAAACAAACTGACAATATTTGCTGCCAATGATAAAATTCAAGCTCCAAGCAAACAAAATGTATCCATCACTGTGTATTTGACAGCATCTTAATACTTGAGTAATTTTTCAGTGTGACTGTTGATTACATGAACAAGTATGATTTTTGATACTGAATAATGAAATGTGTTCACACTTGGACATCTGCATAACAGCGATCCAGTAACCGCCATCTAGTAATGGTTGATGTTAAACAATTATGCCTGGTAAAAGAGGCACTTGAAGAGCAAGATACATCAACCGATGTTAACGTAACAGATATGCAAACTTCTTGATGTAGCTTCACATTCCCCATTGCAACTAACCTTTGAGAAACTATCACTTATAGAGGCTTGATGTCGTATCCATCAGAAAAAGCCATTAAAATACTCTTTCCTTTCCCATCTACATTTCTCCATGAGGCTGAATTTTCTCCATTTACTTCAACCGTAAGAACACATTGCAAAGATGTGAGGCAGAAACATGTGTGAGAAAGTTGCTGTCTGCTAATAAGCCACACTGTAAACAGATCTAGAAACATGTGAAACAATGTAACTCCTCTAATTATTATTTTAATACTTAATTGCTATGTTAATATTAATCAACGTTTTAAAATATGCTTTTATGTTAATACATAATTGGTTTTCAATGTAAGTTTTCCATGAATTAATAAACAGCTATTTAAAATTTTATCAGTTTAAATGTCTAATATGGTAAATATTGGATGATACAGCTATGTAAGCCAAAGCACTTTGAGGTCTCCAGTATTTCTTAAGAGATGATTGGGCTTTTGAGACCACAATATTTCAGAATGCACTAAACAGCCTACCTTTTAATCATGGGTACACACTTTATCTCCCAATAAAACTCTGCGTTACAATTTAGTAACTTAGGACTGTGCAATTCATTTATTTCATATTCCAAACAATTCTCTCAGTGCCAGCCACACTGTAGTTGGACTTCCAGTAAATGATTACTTATCGGTTAGACTATGAATAAATCAAAATCAGAGACATCTTATTTTACAAGTGAACAAAAAGGGGTCCGACACCTTTAGGAAAATAACCTTGTTCTGACCTAAAACCTAAACAGTTTCATAGCTATCTCTGTAACTTTGAACAAGTCACGAAAAAGTACTGAAACATATCTTTTTCTTAGCTAAAGTCAAGACGCTGTCGGTTTAGGCTTTTATGGCTCAGGTATGCCATTGTACCACAGAACGCAACGGCCTTCCTAGAACAAGGGTATGGGAAACTGTAACTGCCTGACATGGCCCTGTGACCACACCTACAAAACCCTCTGATTATAAAAATCAACTTTGATACTGTAATACGTTTGCAGCGCACAGCTCAACCACCTGTCAGGCTAGTCTTAGACAAAGCTGATCAATACTTTCCGCAAATGTCCGCCATCTCACACAGCCCGAATCATGTCTGAGTTCCGTTATGTCCGCACTTCCCATCTCTACGTGCTTTGGGGAGCCCTGTAATGTCAGCTGGCATGTCTTTATT